GTGTCCAGTTCCAAGATGTCTCCTTTGCTTACCCAAACAATCCAGATGTTTTGGTCCTACAGGTACTGCCCACCAAATCCTGTACCCACCCACCCCATGTTCACCTCTTCCATCACATCTTGCTGCTTCCAGTCCACTTACCACCAAGCACAGGTCCTTCCTAACCCTTCTAAGGCAATTACATGTTCATAAATCACCCCAAACTCAAGGGGAGAGGAGGCTTCAAAAGGAGACCCTCACATTCTTAGCAACATCTGTCTCCAGCAACCTTCTGTTCTTCCACGTACAATATGAAATGTGATTTCTGATTCCTGGAGGAAACTGATGCTAAGTGTTAGGCTTAGTGATGCTCGGTCTCCACGTTGGAAATGGGGTCCCTCCAGTTTCAACTCCCAAGTGCTGCTTCTCCACCATTTCCCGTGCCTTGTCTTCCCTCTCACCTCCTTGGGAGGTGTCACCCCAGAAGTGTGTGTGTGGAGAGGTTGGGAGTTGCTCTACTTCCCCATTTCTCTCCTGTTTGCTCTGGGGTGAGCTGCTGTGGTATATAATGGGATCGATGGCAGTCTCCAGGCTGGAGGCCTCCAGCTGCTCTTTCTGAGTGATTCTCTGGCCCTCAGGGTCTGACATTCACTTTACGTCCTGGAGAGGTGACGGCGCTGGTGGGGCCCAATGGGTCGGGGAAGAGCACCGTGGCTGCCCTGCTGCAGAATCTGTACCAGCCCACCGGGGGCCAGCTGCTGCTGGATGGCCATCCCATCTCGGAATATGAGCATCGCTACCTGCACCGTCAGGTGAGCGAGGAGGTGTGGAGGAAGGACGGAGTGTTATCCCTGGACACTCTTGCAGGACGGTTAGGATTTGTAGGAGACTGTGGGTGGAATGGGGGCTGTGTCAGAAGAGGACGTGGGATTTTACGATACACTTTCAATTTGAGTCTCCGGTTCTGAGATAACAGTACTCCTGTGTCTCTTGTCTGTGACTCACCCTCACTTTTTACCTCAGGTGGCCGCAGTGGGGCAGGAGCCACAGCTGTTTGGAAGAAGTTTTCGAGAAAATATTGCCTATGGCCTGATCTGGACTCCAACCATGGAGGAAATCACCACTGTGGCCATGATGTCCGGAGCCCATAATTTTATCTCTGGACTCCCCCAGGGCTACGATACAGGTCTCGCCAGCTAATGGCTAGATTTCTTTACTGAGACCCCAATAATTCTGCCTTTGCTATTCACTTCCTCCTGCCCCGTGGACATCAGTTTATTGTTATATGATCTTGTTGCTATGGCTCGGATCTTCAGAACTCCATTCACCTTCCCAGGATCCTCCCTGGTGTTTGTTTGTGTGTGTGTGTGTGTGTGTGTGTGTGTGTGTGTGTGTGTGTGTGTGTGTGTGTGTGTGTGTGTA